TCTGAGCATGGATGGTTTGTCTGTGCCTTTGCATGACCGTGGTGTTGACTCTGACCTTTCTTCATCATCTGTCTCCTCTGCCCCTGGTTTAACCAGGACGTCACTCTGCTGCAGGTCTTTTTGACATTGTACCACAACTGGTAAATAAGCCAAATCAGTGTTCTGCTGTTTATGATAATAAAGGGTTATTTGTCTTCACAGACAAGACCAAGTTGAGTGAGTGCATGTACGTGAGTGTGGCGAAGGGAGGGCATGAAGGTAAAATTGCATTGCCCGTTTTAGGGCACTGGTAGTATATAGTACGCTTTTTAAAAAGTGATACCATGGTCCACAGGTAGCCACTGTGAAAATGAATAAATAAATAAATAAATAAATAAATAAATAAAGTCCAACAGGGGCCCTTGATGGTCCAGAGGGAAAAGGGCCTAAAGCATTACCTGACGTCTATCTGTGCAGGGCCAGTGTTTGCGAAAACTTTTGAGTCACGTATACCAGTTTGGCAGACGTGCAGAGACGCCTGCCCGGAACAGTGAGACACACCGATTATTTGCAGGGATTTTCAATGTAAATAATATATTTGCTGGGTTTGAGAAGCATGTCGGTTAACGTGTCCAACTATTTCAAGTTTTTCGCCTGACAATTGTAATTTAAGTCAGTAATGTCTGACATGTTTTTGCAAACACTGCACATCAGAGAGCATAACACTTCATTTTCACGCATGGATTGGCCACCACAGAATCCAGACCTGAAGCCCAGACAATGTTTGGGTTGTGCTGGGGAAGACTTTGTGCAGTGGTACGAATCTCCTGTCATCACTTTAAGATCCTAGCTAAAAAATAATGTAACTCTGAACCAAAATAAATGTGACATTACAGAAGCTTGTGGAAACAATACCACAGTGTGAACACATGCCTTAATCAAAGCCATGTAATGGAAAAATAACTCATCTTCCTTTTCACATGCTTCAGTGACCTGTTTTGTTGACCATGACTTAACTGTTTATCTTCTGTTTTTTTCTCAGATAACGTGTTTTAAGATCAGGACAATATCTGTTAGAAGTAATCATTCTAATCAATCAAGTTGTCCTTGCTGGGGAACGGTGGCCTCTCTGGGCGGCGGGCCGGCTGTGGGGCTGGGGGTCGGTTTTGGGGGGTCTTGGCGGCTCCGGGGGGTGGGGTGGGTGGACTGTTGGTCCCGGTTTCTGGTGACCTTCAGGGCTCCGTTCATCCCTGGTCTGGGGTTCCGCGGACTTGGCGGTTTGTCTGGAGGGAGAGGTAGTTGGGCTGCTCTTCCTGGGTGGGTTTTGGGGAAGGTGGGGCTTACTGGAGCCAGTGGGGGAGCTGACTCCCTGTGGGAGCATTTTGCTCCTTCAGATTATTTTCCCCATCCCTCACCGCACACCTCCACCCTCTTCGCTTTCAACTTCACCCATGTAGGGTTTTTWTGGGGCACAGTTGTGTTATAAGAGCAACAATTTTGCATTTCTATTTGCCATAACCACCTGGGCCCCAAATTTTATTGTACATCTTAGATATTCACTCATAACATTTTCATGAAATTCACATATAGGAACTTATGGTGGGCACTCGTGGCTATAGGTGGCCGGATGGCACCACTCTTGCCTCCTGTGCCTGTGCCCACCCCCAAGGTTTGCATATAGACACTTAGGGTTTTGGGTTAGAGTAGTGGTGGAGGGGAAACTGGCACCACGCCGGCCTCTGCCTCTTCTTCTTTCCTTTTTTTAATTACTCTATAGAACAACACGCACCAACAGTACATCTGAGGGTTGGGGTGTGGGTGTCAGGGTCTTTATTCCCATCCCGTTCCCCGACTGCCATTTGGGGAGGGGGTTCCGAAGAAGGGCAGGCCGACGGGTGTGGTCCTGGGCTGTGGGTGGGCTCGGGGCTTGGAGGGTTGCCGGGGGCAGGGCTGGCTCTCCATCCTCGCTAGTGCTGCTTGGACTCCTGGAATGTGGCTCCTGGTTGCTATAGATTGTCCACTGGCCGGGGTAGTTACCGGGTTCCAGTGGGCGGTTGGCTGGGGAGGTGCGCTTGGCCGTTGGTGGTGTGGTGGGGTGGGTGTGGCTTCTCTGTGGCGGGGGGCTGGCCGGGTGTCCTGGTGCAGCCCAGGCCTTGGCTATCTGTTCCTCTCCACCCCAGAATGATTGGGTCTACCCCCGAGTTCGGGTGTGTGCTGCCTCCAATGGGGGTGGGTACATGTCCTGGACCTGGGGGGTATAGAGTGTGTATCGGGGGTATGAGTGGAATGTGGCGTCCTTGTATGTCTTTGAATGAGTGGGGGTGAGGATGAGGGTGGGATGGTGCGATTGTGTATGTTTGGGTATTCGTCAGGCTGCGGTCTGGGCCACCCCCCTGCTGGTTTGTCTGAGGGCCCGCTGCTACTCTGCCCCCCGGTGGGGTGCGTGGCTGCCCACTGGCGTGCTGGGGGTTCCCGGGGTCTGGGCTGGGGTGTGTGCCGGCCTGGCCTGGTGACTGCCTGCTGGGGCTCGGGGTCTCTGGCCCTGTTGGGCTCTGGCCTGGGGGGGTGTGCCCTGGGGGCCCGGACCTCTATGCCCTTTCCTGGATCTGCTCTGGTGTGGCGGGTATCGGTGGGGCCCATGAGTTTGCCGCTGCTGGCCTCGGGGGTTTACTGCATGTGGACACTGGGGGGACTCTCCCAGTTCTCCCCTATGGTCTGATCTGGGGGGTGGGTGGGCGGATCTTCCCATGCGGGTGCCCCTTGGGGCTCTGCGCTCGAGATCCCTCTCGGGCCCTTGGGTTCTGGTCTTCCCTATGTCTGCCTCGTGTCTTGGGGGTTGGGTCTCGGTCCTCCACAGTCACTWYTRARTRTTCCATTGGAGAAATCTTGTATGTACACGCATGTTCACAACTGCTCACAAACAGTTGTTCTGATCTGGGGGTTCTGACTGGTCACTGAGTGTGTATATACGTATGTCTGTGTGTATACATCTACAGTATGCATGAATGTATGCATGTATGTATATCTATACCTATGGGTATGTGTATATATGTATGCATGCCATCCATTTATTTATCCATTTATTTTCAGGTGAGCGGACAGATGTTGGTTGTGTGGTCCTGTGTTTTCTTGGTGTATATTTAATATATTTCTAATCTCTATTTCAATGTTTCTATTTACATTTTCTCTTTGTTTTGCCCTCTTTTTCTATTTTCTCTTTACTTAAAAAATAAAATGAAGAAATTAAGAAACTAATATTAAGTTCTTTTTTCTACTGAAGTGTTAAAAAAGGAAGTAATCATTCTTGCTGCTAGTTTGTCAAATATCACGTTCTCCTTGGCCCAGCTGCGACTCTAAGAGAGATGTTCATAGTTTGTTTGGATAACATTCTGTATAAATTAGAACTGCTGAGACTGCCTCGGCGCACATCTAACACAACCCTGTGTTACCTGTTTGTGCCTTGCATATTTGCAATAAACAATGACGACCATCCCACGGAGTACTTTTTATTCTTGGATCACAGGTTTCTGTCTTTGTTAAAAAAAAAGATTTCCACAACAGCTAAAGGCGGTCCAATGAAACATTGGTGTGACCTTTTTTTAGCCAGGTTGTGTAATTAGTTATTAATTACCTTCTCGTCATTAAAGTCAAATTCTTGTTGGGGAGTTTTCCATGAGCCACGTTGCTGTACTGCCACAGGGGTTACATCACTAGACTCGGGGATTTCTTCACTCATGACAAACATTTCTGGCGCGTTGTTAGTGGTCAGTTCCTGTTTAACCTGTTTAGTTCCTGTCTCAGGTGGTGTGTAGCATTGGGGGAGAGTGGGGGGAAGACACTTGACAATGGTGTCTATGGGATGTGAGTTAAACAAACATTCCTGTTGGTTCTTTTTAATGCCTCTCGAGGCCGTTCAAGGTGAAACTCTCAGGATGTAGTTGGTTGACATAGCTGAGTAAGAACACATTTCCTGTTTAGCTGATGTGGCATTATAGTTATTATTTACTTATTATTTAATTACTTTTATTTGAGGGTGACAGTCATGTTGGTTGATTCAACGTGACGTTAAATAAATCTTTACACTAACAGAGAAACTACCAGCTGCAGTCAACCATGATTCATATTGCAAAGTTATTAGGCCACGTCATGTTAGGACATTCAAAAACCTTCAGCAGCACTCAATAAATAATTTGACTTGATGTATATATTTGACTCAGTGTGGATCAGAGTTAATTCACATAAAAATGCATATTTGTGAAGTTTCCACCAGGGGAAATACAACAGTTTATTCAACTAAAAACTTGTAATTATAGTATCTCAAAAACTATAATAGCACAAACGCTCATTTTAACTGCACAAACGAAGCACCAACCAATCCGCTTACTTGTATTTTTATGTGGGCGGGGCCAGCTTCACTCAGCTGAGGCAGCGTCCTTCCTGCGGTTTGTATTTGACAAATTAAAAGCTCAACAGCGGCACCCAGCGGCCTAAGTGAAAATAAATGATTTGAAAATAATATTTTGTTCTGTTTCTTATTTAAAGCAACAAAAACTTTTCATGAACTAAACAATTTTGAAATGTTTTTATGTGTGGGAAATAAATAATATTATAAAACTGTACTCTTAGACATTGAATGATTTATGTCAAACTGTATTATATTGCATTTATTATATTTAAACTATATTGCATTGTCATATATGACCTGTTTTCCTAGACATTTCTTTTTGATCAAATATTTTCAACTTATTATACAGGTATTTTGTTAGAAGACAAGAACGTTATTTGACCAATCCTCAGACAGAAATATAAATTAACAGCTAAAAGCCAAAAGTAATTTAGGAACATTATTTTAAATTCCATAACCCATGTTTTCAAATTATATATCCAGTAAATTGTTAGAAAAATAAAAATAAGTCCAGATATGTTTAATAGAATTTTTTTAAAATAACGCTAAATTGTTCTAAGAATGATTTTAGCGAGTTTTAAAAAAATAAACAAAAATAAAAATAACACGTCACAAATATGTTACGCATATATTTAATTTCAATACTAAGCTTTTCAAATTCACAATTAGTCACACACTTTAAAAGAAATAAACAGAAACTGAGACAAATTGTTACAACCTTAACTAGAAAAAAATACAATAAAATAAACACTGATGAATCAAACTAAACACAGTAGGATCTAAAAACCTTGTTTGAGAGCATTTTGAAATTTTAATAGACCTTTCTGCAGACAGGCTATAATTTTCAAGCTCACTAAAACACTTTTTAGCAACTTTGATAATATTGTTTATTTTATCCAATAAAACTAGCCATGACTCTAGAGCAGAATGTTTGAAAGTGAGTTTAGTAAACTGTTACTCACCTGGCTGTTTAATAAAAGCCATAATACTGTCAGAATACATTTTTATCTCAGGAAGTTATAAGTTTGCGTCTATGAGGTGTTCCCTATATTCTCACCACCTGCTGCATATAAACAAAACCAGAGAGTGTCACGAAAACATTGAACAGTTCCTTCAGACACACAGACACAAAACAATGGAGGGAATGATGCAGTTTATTCGATGAAAGATGAAAACTTAGMGGAAGTGTCCGTGTTCATCGTCTGTTGCTGTAGCGACCGCTTCCCTGCGTCCTGTCGCTGCGGCTGCTGTGACCTGTTGCTGACATCACTTCCTCCAGGAAACTGGTGGACAGAGGGCGGGGATAAATAAAGACGCCGGAACAAATTCAGCTGGAATTTCAATGTTTCTGTTCACAGCGAGAATATAGCACGACAAAATGAGACGAGAAGCTTCTGATACCTCTTAGTGTTGTGGATGGCGCTTCCTCCCAGCACGATACGAACCCCAGGTGTGTTACGGTTCAGGTTGTAAACAGTCAGAGCTTCTTCATACGTGGCCCCACYGATAATAAACACCATGATGTCCTGAGGCCTGAAAAACAACATCATGTAACTTGAACATACATGTACGACGGAGTGTTAGGGTCACACAACGAGATTTTTTTTAAATTACGAGATTAAAGTCGTATAAAAATAAAGTCATAATATTATGAGAATAAAATCGTAATATTACGAGATTAAAGTTGTAATATTATGAGTTTAAAGTCATGATATTTTAGCCTGTATACGAAAAAGCATGCAGTTACCACTGAATTAAAATGAGGAATGTTGAACAACTTGTCAAGTTGTTTTTTAGTACTGCTATAAATAAATAGTTAATCTTTTAGCACATTAGCATCCAATTATCAGAAGCAGGACTTGGAAATTGTGCAAAGGACAATAAAGTGAAGCCGTATTGTAATTAATGGATGCATTGACGGACATAGTCGTAGCTAATTTGGATGAAAGCATATTAATCTAACAGTACCCGAGTCATCGTGGACTACTTTATAAACACACACATATGGCTGTACAGCAGGTGGGAGGAAAAAAGGACGAAATGAGGAACGGGAAATAGACACGTCATGATCATGACTTTTTTTTTCTCGTAAATTATGACTTTATTCTCGTAATATTACGATTTTTTTCTTGTAAAATTATGACTTTAATCTCATAATATTACGACTTTAATCTCGTAATTTACGACTTTATTCTCATAATATTGACTTTTTTCTTGTATTATTATGACTTTAATCTCATAATATTGCGACTTTTATCTCGTAGTATTACGACTTTATCCTCATAATATTGACTTTTTTCTCGTATTATTATGACTTTAAACTCGTAATATTATTACTTTAATCTCATAATATTATGACTTTATTCTCATAATGTTTTGACTTTAATCTTGTAATATTATGACTTTAAACTCGTAATATTATGATTTTATTCTCATAATATTGACTTTTTCTCGTAATATTATGACTTTATTTTTATACGACTTTAATCTCGTAATATTACGACTTTATTCGCGGAATATTATGACTTTTTTCTCGTAATATTATGACTTCAAACTCGTAATATTACGACTTTATTCTCATAATATTATGAGTTGAATCTCGTAATATTACGTCTTTAATCTCGTAATATTACGACTTTATTCTCACAATATTATGACTTTAATCTCGTAATATTACGGCTTTATTCTCATAATATTATGACTTGAATCTCGTAATATTACGTCTTTAATCTCGTAATATTACGACTTTATTCTCATAATATTATGACTTGAATCTCGTAATATTACGTCTTTAATCTCGTAATATTACGACTTTATTCTCATAATATTATGACTTGAATCTCGTAATATTACGTCTTTAATCTCGTAATATTACGACTTTATTCTCATAATATTATGACTTGAATCTCGTAATATTACGTCTTTAATCTCGTA